GGCTAGGTCTAGCCTAGCTAGGTAACATCGTTCGTTCATACATACGTATATTGAGCGTTACGTACGTATTAGGTCAAAGGTTACCACAAATTTAACCCAACCTCTATTTTACAAATCCCCCGATTTACATACGCCCTCCGGTCCCGTACCGCACATAAAATCGAGGTTCTACTGTAATAACTTTCATCAATTGAAAAATTTTTGGTTTGTAGAGTAGTGATCTTTAATGGATGTGGTCTTTAATTGGAGGGGTCTTTAATTAGAGGGAGACCTATAGTCATTAAAAAGAAAATTATTAGGTTAAAATTTAATAAACAAATGTTAAAGTTTTCTATTTTTCAACACTATTTTGAGTTATAGCACTACCAAACACTCCACTACCAAGGAAAAAAAAGTGGTGAAAATAACTCATACCAAAATATTTTTTTTTTAATAGAAATTTAAACTCTGGAATCCTCCCAAACACTGTCCAAAATGTGTATTATTCAAACCATTTTTTTTGGCCAGAAATCATATTAAAAAATGAAAAATAGTGTTTCTTCTTACTGACAATCTGCAGTACTGTCGGCTAAGTATAGCGTAGAACTTTCAAAATTTAAAAATTATTTTACCTGCCAAATAGAAAAAATAATTTCCAAAATAAAGTTGAATAGAATTTATAATTAGAATTTGGCATTTGATTTTCAATTTTATAAATTGGCTAGACACTACTTTGTGCTGGGTGTATGACTTGCAATTTAAAAGTATGATTTATATTTGGCGTTTTGTGACAAAAAATGATTTGGAAATTATTGTTGAATTAAAATTTATGTAAACAATCATTGACCAAAAAAGCTTGTGTTGTCCAGCCCAAAAGACCTAAAATCCAAAAATATTAGGGCTGGGTTTTTTAGTAAAAATTTCTTAATGCAATTAATCTTGTATATTAGTAGCCAATGAGCTTGCAGATTAGTTAAACAAATCCAGTGTCAATGCAAAATTGCATGTATGTTATGACAGAAATTATCGTAAAATATAGCATAAATTTTTAATTGACATATATATCAAATTAATATCAAAACCTATATTGATCATAAATATGTAGTTTTCCAAGTGTGTGTGTGAGCGTACTTGAGCCTACAGCTATGGTTTATTTGATAATAAAAACAATTTGTGAGATTTGATCACAGAAGAAAAATTTCAAACCGATAAAATCACACAGTGATAATAAAAACAACTTGTGAGATTTCATCACAGTTTGAAATTTATTCTTCTCTGATCTCCAAATTAGCAAAATATCAAATATAATTTTAAAATAAAATTACATGTGTAATATTATATAATGTACCCTATTAATTGATTGATTGATAACTTGATTTAGGCCTATATTGATTTATAGATTGATAAATTGAGGGCTTCAAAGTGCTGGTAAAAAAAGCAGTGATGTTGGTTTCTTCTTATTTTTTCCTGGAATAGTTTAAGGCATGTCATGGGTTAATTTTCAAGATTTCTAGTTCCGTTTGGTAATGCTCCATTCGTCTCTAGAGTCCTGAGCAATTTCTAAAGTGGATATGTTTGCTATATTTATCCTATTATTGATTGATTGGTTATATATGCTTAGTTTATTGTCACTCCAGTCAAAAAGTGTTTCCTAATGCCATATGATATGTTTAATATTCTTAATTGTATGAGACCTACTTGGTTATTCTGAGGCACTCACTGATTTTCAACCAACCATCACTACAAATATTTTACAGGCTTGTTTCTATTTATAGTTACCAGGTTTGGTTCTATTTATAGCTACTACAGAGGATCTATTTAAAGATTTTCTTGTGAGTTGACAGGCAGGAAGTGTTAGAATTGAGGTAAAGTTTAATCAGTGTTGTAATGAAGTGCTTCCTAACAAGGTTTGAGTGAAGGACACTTAAGCTTTCACTCTCATCATAAAGATATCCTATCTCTGTTGAAGCATAAAGTTTGATTTCATTTTTTGTGTACACTTATTAGATTATTAGCATTCAATTGAAAATTTGAATGAACAAATAATGGCTTCTCTATTAAATAAAATTGTTGCTATATTCTTTACATGCAACAGACTAGCCAAACCAGTCACTTCTTGCAAAAAAAAATGATTTGTAGTTAGAAATACAGTGGTTTTTTTGTTATGAAGTTAAGGAGTTTAAAGTATACAGCTGTTTAAATAACAGTATTTGAGAAATCAGCCTTCCAAGTTTTAGTTTTTTGGCAACTTCTCATTCAGAGACCAACACCAAATTGTTTAAAAAATGACATATATATATTACTTTATTAAACTTTCAGCTAAATGTTTATTAATAAAGAATATAGTAATCAAACATTTTCCATATCATGCAGTACTGATAAACTAAGATCTATCAAACTACCTATAGTACCCTTAATGTGAGGATTGGTGTGCGCCCTCACTATTTATCATAATAATACTGAGTAAAAAGAAAGGCTAGACCTACTAAATATCCACTGGAAAATAAGATGAAGGATAATTTAAAACGGGCAGACCATGAAAAATTGGGTATGGCACAGAGTACAATCAGTTTGAGGGCAGTGTTCATTCTTCCACAATTTAAAAGCCAACTAACACTACGGATAATTCACAACCGGATGACAACCAGATCACAGGTGCATGACCAGATGACATAGATTTTTTATGAATAAAAAATATTTGGAGGTGGTAATTCATCGTAAGTTGGTAATTTTTTCACAGTTTTGGAGCAGATGGTAAGACCAACCATCTGTACACTTTTTTTTCGGCAAGGAATTCCAGAAGGATTGTTTGAACTTGTTGACCCCAAAGACCTTGTACTTGATCAGAGTTTTATCAGATCTCAGAGATTAATTTTGATGCTGTGTGTTGGAGTATTTCATATTTAGCCTGAGTTTTCAAATTATGCTGATTAACTGGTAGTAAGATTATTATGATTATGATAAGATAATAATCAAAATATTTTATATCGATGTCTGGCTCAGCTTATACAGTACACAGTATATCAGTTTAAACCTTATAGGGATTTTTGATTGAGAACGTAGAACGAGAACGTAGGACGAATTCAATCCCGTGACTGGCATCGCATGCATTCTTTATTCTATTGCAAGATCAGTTCACTCACAACTCAATAGTTGCAGTAAACGCATGCCAGATTATAGTTCTTTTATACTATATGCTGATTATTAAGTATGATTTTTTTTTTAGCTTATAAGAATAATATTTTACTTTACTTTTATACCAACCTATTGATCTATAATTACAATAATTATCTTTCCTAGAGTGTTTTTATATTGTATTTGTATAGAACCCTAATTGTATGTGAACCATGCTGTACAAAATTGACCAATAAAACATTCTTATCTTATTGACCTTAATATATTTCTTTTGCCCGTAGCTGCTGCCCAGAATAATCCACTATCACCAGAAGCGGCTCGAAGGTCGATGCATCTGACCCAGGCGCAGCAGGCACGCTCGGAGCAAGAGCTACAGCTTGAGTTGATGGAGCTACAAAAGCAGCAGCATATCCAGCAACAGGTACTGATGGAGAAATTCAAGCACCAGAGCGATCAGCTCGTCAAGGATTATCATAAGCAGCAACAGCAAATCATATCAGTAAGTAATAGAGGCATATATGATTCAGAGGATGGGGTTGTGCAGAGTGGGGATAGGAACACAAACTTCCATTTTCATTTCATACCATATTATTTTCATGTCATAGTTTCTCGGGTTATAAGACCATCTCTAATTTATGTCGCAGGGGTTCCCCAGGTAAAAGCCCGGAGTATCATTTGAATGAGTAGGTCAGCTTACTTTTATTAATAATAGAAAAAAAAAAATCAAGTTTGTCTTTGAATTACAGGTAGTCATGCAGTGTTAAAAAACTTTTTTGGTTGGCCATTTATACAAATCATAGGACATACTGTCAGTTTGAAAAAGGATTATCATTTCCCAAAGTTGACCGAATTTCATGTTAAAGGAGCATGGGCTTTAATATACCCAAACAACTACACTATTTTGTTTTTACGAACTTTAGTTTCGTTTTTTACCAAATACATACTTAGGGGAGCTTAGGTATATTTGCGCAATAGCAGAGCAATTTTTCCTACCCAGAGTTGGTAACTACCGGAGCCTAGCCTACCTCTCTAATGTAGCTGTTCCAATGTTGATGAGAAAAAACAGGTTTTCCCCTTTTTTGTGTCTACTGCCCCCAACGGGGGCCTAGACACCATGTCATGATGTAGCAATTAAAGATGGCGGAAAAGGGTAAATCCGGTTTAGGCATGATGGGTACTACTAACACGAGGTAGGAGGCGCTCTATTTGTAATCGAATAGCATTTGGAACTCGAACAAAATTGTGTTTAAAACTCGAACACGCATTATAGAGAACGCCACGAACGCCTTTTACTGTCATTTGAAGGACACCCTCTAGAACCTGTTAAGTACTCTTTGTGATCAACGACATAATGTGGTGACTCCAAGAGTTACTCATTTTTAAAGTGTTTTTAGTGTAATATAGTAGTAGGCCTATACAGAATATTGTTATGAAAGAAAATTTTCATGAAAAATCCAGATACACTACAATAATACAAACAATCTGCATATTAAAGAACATAAGATAAAATTTAAAAAACAAAAACGCCTGTATAAGGCAGTAGACACACGATCCCGCTGGGAGCCTATTTTTGTTGATTGGTATGAAAATGAAATTCCATACACAAGTAGCACATTATTGTTGATGATACAGTATTCAATAGTAATCCTTGTGATTGTTAGCAGTGATTTTATATTTGATTGTGTGTATATACTATACTATGTGGGACACTTATAGTTTGTAAACACATAAACTGGAAATTAGTGCTCTCTGGAGTGTCAATCAATCTTCAATCAAAACATGTTATACTGTAGCAAGAAATATGCACATATCCCATAAAAGCGCAAGTTTACTTACGGTACCTTTACACTGTTTCAGTAACAATATCAAGAGTCAGGCCTTTGTAGAAAGGTCCATGGATGAACTATTGCTTCACTCTTGTATGCCTAATTGACTTGAAACTTTGCACAATACTGTTCAGTACTGTGCAGGGACGA